AAACCCAGCTTTTTGTGTTTAAGAGGGTTAGTTCTCCTCAGAGATACACACTTCCTTTGATGTTTAGTGATGTCACAATGTCCTACTGAGGCATTAGACAATGCTTTCGTTTATGGAGCTAAATATCTGTGAAGAGCTTGACCAACTTTTTGGTACCTGAAACTTTTAAGGTTTATACCTCATCAGAGAGCATAAAAGCGTTAGGAAGACTCAGAGTAGTTTCAATTTGATTGATCTGAGGTGAATACTCTTTATAACATGTTTTGGTTGTTTATAGATATTAGAGTTTGGCTCATTGCCTAAGAGGGTATTGTTTCGCCTTGTCTGAAGCAGCCCTGGCCAAAAGGATGAGATGAAAAGACTGTGTTTCTCAGCTCCTTTGCCTCATTTCTCCTGTGCAGTGAGACTGACTCTAGGTTTTAGCTAATACTGGTGACCACCAATTCAAAAACCACTGGCTTGGTTTGGGCCGTAAATACCTGTATATTTATATTCTCTTCCTTAAGAGAGTAATTGTACCTGATCATTGGGAATTTTGGAACTTACTGCATACTCCCATTAGATCATCAACTTCCCTTTCTTTTTGCCCATCTTAAGCAGGAACCCTCTATATTCTCTCTTTTTTGTAAATTCATTTCTTATTAACTCATAATTACTTTTGTTGTTTGTTGAAGCAATAGATCACACAACACTTGCCACAGTAATGTCTGTCAAAGCAAAAAAAAGGAACGCTTCATGAATTTGCGTGTCATCCTTGTGTAGGGGCCATGCTATCAAGTGTGATGTTCCAATATGTGTGTATGTCCTGCCAAAGCGAGCACTATATTCTCATTTTAGGGTATAGAGTTGTTCAGGCCCGTGTGTGCAGATGTCATCCAATTGCTTTGCCTTCTGGTGAAATAATGTTACTTGCCGGAGAATGTAAGGATTCATACAAAGCCTACGTTTTCGTTTCAGCAAAATCAGAATAAAGTAAATGCTAAATTTTCTGACAGTAAAACTGACTCTTTTTGGCTAAACATTATATCAGCAAACTGATATAAAAGGCTGATCCTTCAGAGTTTTAACAGAATTTTTCTCAACTATGGACACTTTTCTTGTGACTTTAGAGACATGATCTAAACGGAAATGAACCAAAGAAAAATATTACTAGATATGGGGTCCTTAGATATGAAAACAGGTGTCAGTAGAGTCATCAGATACAACACAACTCCTAGAACACAGCATCTACTTAACAGATACAGTTCAAAGTCTACTTAAAGATATAGTACAACTTCTACTCAGCAGATACAACAGTACAACTACTGTTCAGACACAATACAACTTATACAGTCAGATCATATGCAGGCTAGCAGCAAGGCCCCACAGAGAATGGGGAGAGAGCTTCTGCTTTTGTTCCTGTCGGTATCTAAAGTATGACAGAAACCACAACAGGCACAATTAGGCAGCAGGTATACAGAAAACAGATACCACAGGGCAACCAGCACAGAGTTCTCACCCTGACTCTTAACAGATTTGGAATCATCAACAACTCACAGCACTGCACCCTTACAGATTTGGAAGGCACGAATGATGTGAAACCCAGTTCTAGACAGCTGGCTAGGAGCTCACTCGTGCAGTGCGCAGGGATGGTCAGAGATTTGTACCAAGCTGACAGTTTCCAAAGAAAGTGCATGGCTTCCAAAGGCAATGGAGCATGTCAGGAGTTGGTGCCTCAAAGGTGGCTTGAGATTACAGATCTCATGGATGCCTTTGGCCATTTGGCCTATCGAATCCTCTCTTCCTTGAAGGTCAAAGGCTTCTTTTTTTTTAATTTGTGTGTGTGTGTGTGTGTGTGTGTGTGTGTGTGTGTACCGTCAAATCAGATCTGACTGGTACAGGAGGAGATTGTCCCTCCTTCCCCGGCAGAGCATCTGGTGGATTGGAACCATGCCCCTCTGGGATTGCAGTGCAGCTTCTTGCCACTAGGCCACCAGAGCTCCCCAGGTCAAAGGCTTCTGATACTAGTTGATACAGAGTGTTGGTGAACACATCAAAATGGAGAGCAGAATGAAATGACTTGAGATTCTCTGGCACGCTCCAGGGTCATGCAGACTGTGTTGTTACAACTTTCAGGAAGGGAGAAGCGATTCATGGTATCAGCTGCAAGTTCTGTTGAAATTTTTTAAATTGTCATTTAAATAGGCTTGTTTTTCCCCCCTCTGGTTAATACTGAGATGATGGAACCACCTTAAAATTCACTCATTACTCACTGCCTTACCCCATGATTTTATTGCTTGGTTGTTAAAACCGTAGTTTGATGTGAAAGCTTTGAAATAGCCAGTTTCCTATGTACATGTCACCATTCACAATTTACTTCCTTTCCATATTTTGAGCCATTTTTTCTCTTTGAAGAAGGTTTCATTTCATGTAACTCCTTGTTACTTTTCCCTAGTTGAGCCACTAATATGGCACTTTGTGGTGCAACCATATATATTACTGGTCTTCAGGCTTTTCTGTCATATTAGTGGATAATACTCAAGCATTAACTGCTCCATGTCCTCCCTATCGTCTATGTCTATTTGACCATTTTGAAATAAATAAGTCTTTGGTACAAAAAATGTTGTACATCCCCAGCATCCCATCCGGCAGAAATCACACGTGGGTGTGGCCCTCTGTATATATCCCTCCTCTCCTGCTTCCACCTATTTACCCAAATCTCAAGTTCAGTGAGGAGAGCTGGGATTTTCCTTATGGCCTCTCCCGCAGTGTTGATCTATATTTCTGCTCAGAACACAACTGGAGGGAATCAGATGGACTTTTCCCTGCCTGTTCAACCGTGACACCTTCTATTTTGCCTTCAGCATTGCTGCTCAGTTCATGTGCACCCCGCCTTTCCAAGGATAGACTGTGAGGTTAGCAGTGCTAGAGGAGAAGCCATGAAAATGAAACCAAACTCCTCCCTCCGCTTTGCCAACTCACCATTGTTTTCCTCTTGATTGTCTGTTTCAGATCAAGTGCCTTGTAAGCATGTGCAGTCCAAGCCGCTGAGGAACGAGCTCCATTCTATGTTGTGTTTCTGTAAACCCGAAGGGAGGATTTGAGCCCTTGTAAAGGGAGTGCGTGCCCGACATCATTCATCTGCTTCCATGTTATCCTGTGTTCTCCCACGGCAGTGCTCGTCCTGAAGGGATTTCTTCGTATTAACAAACACGGTGCCCTATGAACTCCAGAAGACGGAGCGAAGAAATGGTGAGTCCTGGAGAGTCAGGTCTTTCAACCTTGAGGTGGTGCCATTGGATAGACATTCTTGGGAACCCAT